TGCGTTTGTGTGCCTGTGTGTGCCTGTGTGTGCCTGTGTGTGCCTGTGTGTGCCTGTGTGTTTGTGCATGTCTGTGCGTTTGTGTGCGTTTGTGTGCCTGTGTGTGCCTGTGTGTGCCTGTGTGTGCCTGTGTGTGTGTGCGCTTGCTATGGTGCCCCTGTGTCTGTGTGCTTGTCTGTGTTGCCACACACTCCCTAAGCACGTAGGCGGTGCCCCTGACCTTTGTGTTATAGGCATGCCCTCTTACTGTGCGCTGCCCTTTGCACTTTCCTGCCCCCACAGAGGGTGATGCCTGTTGTCCCCCCCCTCACTGTTACATCCAGCATGAAAGGAAGCATGGGCTGATGGGAAATGGGGGCAGGGTCTCACCTCAATGAAGGCTGTTGGCTGGCGGCCTGGTTTGTATGGAATGTGACGTGGGAATCTGTCCAGTGGGTCAGATGTCACGTCCATGGAGACGCGGCCGGGCTGGGGGTGGGGGGCATTCCGGTCACGGGCCCATGTGCGTCACCGGCAGCGCGTCACCATGCTGTGAGGCAGCACTAGACTGATGTTCTGATACTCGCCGTGTCCAGCCCTCTCTGATGTCCCCCCCAGCCCCCACCCCACACCCAGCTCTACCCTCCCCCTCCCAGGCTCTGACTGACCACCCCACACCCCCCTACACCCAGCCCTCCCTAACCCCTTCAGCCTCTACCCTGCCTTCCCTGATCCCTGCTCCCACCCCAAATACAACCCCCCCAGCCTGGGCCCCCTGCAGTCTTCTGTCTCTCTTGCAGGTCCTCCTGTTCTCCTCTCGTTCATTGGATCCCTTTTGTTTTCTTTCCCTTAAATGGAAAAATGAATATGCATTTGTAGATAAATACTGTAAATTGGCCGTGTTTTTAATTATTCTATATTCTATCTGTATATATGGCAATTACAGAAAATAAAACAGGTGTATAGTGGGTTTTTTTTCCGACTATAAAAACAAACAGGCAGACATTGTATAGATGTGGTACAGCTTACAGACATGACCTTTGGCCCATACGCACAGTCATCTGTTACACACTGTCTTTCATCATTTAGTTTCCTGACCGATTAGTGATGTACAAAATGACTGCAGCTAGTTGGGGAACGATATCTGCTCACACTCACCACATGGCACATCTGCAGTCATGCAGGCCTCACCCATCACTGTGATGATGGTCCCGATCGCCCAGAAGCCCATAGGCACACAGAGCCTCTGCCTGTCGGTACGGTGGTTATCCTTCTGTGGCAATTTATTAGGTTTAATTAGATCCATTGTGATCAATATGATGGCACAACTTTGCTGTGGGTGATGCCTTCAATCAGATATGCCAGCACTAAATTAAGTGCAGGTCTTTACACTGCCTGTAAGAAAAGTGAACTGTGGTGATGACAGTAACTTCTATGAAACTGATGGTAATTTGCAGTTGAAACTCAGGCATTAGCTAGTGAGCCATTTTAACTGAATCCTCCCCCCCGCCCCCAGTGGGATCGGTGGGGCCGTTGAATGTGGATCATCTTACATCACACCGGCTTCCTGTGAGGATGGGACGGGACGAACTGGAGAATGAGCCATCAAGATCCAGTTCATGACGCCAGGGCAGTGAGTGTAGCGGGAAGAGGAGGCATCCGGGACAGGGGGGGAGTGGGGGGGGTCAACCCATTTTCACCCAAAAGCCCTGCAGACTGTGTGCATTGTGATGCAGATAAACACTTACATTCTGTGAAAGCGCACTGTCACATTCTATCCACCTGTATGGGTGGGAGTGACATTTCTGTGTCACAGCAACTGGTCATCTTTCAACAGATGGGGGCAGATGGCTGCCTCTATTTCTGCCCCCCCCCAGTTCACTGCCTCATTGGCTTAATCTAAAAATACCATCCCATGAGAGCACAGTTAAAGGCGGTGAGCTGCCCCCACGCCACCCCCACTAGGCACCCCCCAGGACAGTTATGCTCAGTAACTGCGAAGGCGCTTCCTGGGATGAGGTTCCCGGTATGAGGTGCACTGTGGCCTCCTGGGAGTGTCACCCTTGGTACAGCAGCCCAGTGGCCGAATAAACGGGCTGTAAAGGTTACGGCTGAGGCCCAGTAAAGGGCTTCTGGGAGACTGATGACCCTGTTATTTTCATTTCCAGGAATGGTTCATCTGCACTTAAGCTATTTTCTTCCTAAAGGAACGCTTGGCAGACCACGGCTGAAGATCCAGTCCCAGTGTATGACTCCCAGTGCAACCCGCCATGTCTCCCTGTACCTCTCGGGCTGCATGGAGTGTGTTGGGTATGAGCCTACTTCTTCCGGGGCTTACCCAGCGACCTTGGACAGGTGTATACCCTTGACCACCACGCTTACTGATCAGGAGGCTCCTTTGCCCTCCAGTTTTAAGTTTGCACCCATCCTGGCTGAGGGTTAATGTTAGTTTATTATCAAATGCTGAATCATTTGAACATTCATCCAGGCTTAAATTTTAAATGCAACACAATTACAGACCTGTGTAGGATCTGGGACATTTAAATACACAGTGTGGAGCGGCCATCTGCTTGGGGCAGCCTGCAATGAAAAATCTCAGACGGGTCAGAAAGGCTGAGTGACAGCAGCAGTGGGGAGCTCTTTATAAGCCCCTTTCATTTCAGGGGTAAGTGACAGACAAATGGAACAGTTACTTAAAATCAATTCCCTGGTATAAATTTAATCTCAAAGACCAAACAAACAAATACATGTGAAATCTGAATAAGATTATTATATAAGCAGATCATTTAACTCAAACTACTGCTCACAGGCCAGAGTTTAATTATAGACAGAGCCCAGCCGAGCGCAGCTCCACCTCCTAGTGGCCAAATCGCACCTTGCCGGAGCGCAGCTCCACCTCCTAGTGGCCAAATCGCACCTTGCCCGAGCGCAGCTCCACCTTGGATTTGCAATACAGGTTTTGTACTTGAAAATCATTCTATCTTTGTAAAAAATATTTTGATGAAGATGTTTGGTTTCGCATTTACAAAAAATATTGACTTGTATTTGCAAAATCTTTTTTTTTGCGAATGAAAATTGTGTTTAGTGTGAGCAAATTTCTTTTTACGGGTGCAAATTGGAAAATACACATACAAGTACATATGGCACTATTCTGACTCCATATATTCTCCAGTGACATATTCTTACATGGCGCCTAGATTTCTGTCCCGTGTTTTTGTATTTTGACCTATTTCACTTATGGTACTGCTGCCAACGCTTAATTTACTATCATATTGACCCTGTCAGAGTTAAGACGAGTGTAAGAAGCAAAATATGAATTATTTTAATGTATTTTCACTAGGACATTACGAATGAATAAACTGAATATTACTTGTAGCGATAAGTAATTTTGATACATTTTAAAGTTTCATTTAAATATTATGTTTCAGAAAATTCAAGTACAATGTAGCTACGCGATAGGTACAATACCTATATCAAATAAAATAACCTTTAGATCGCGTTTTTTAGTTTTTGTATTGCTTTAAAGGCATTCCTTCGCTGAGCCTGGCAGGCTCCCCCTCCCGCGTCTGATTCAACCCCAGCCGCATGCGCAGTTTTTCTAGATTATTACATGTTGATTAACTGGCCGATGATTATACAGAATATCACTTCAAGCTTAAAACACGGTAAATGGCTGTCTGGCTGCCGTGGTGCTGGCGATAAGTTGGAGACTGAACTAAGTGTCATTTGAATGAACTGACAGCTTCGTCTACCGCAAACGCTACTTCACAAAATGAAAACGACTGTGGAAAAAACACGTTCCTGCGTTTCCAAGAAGCCAACAAAAATATTTACATGAAAAGGGTACTACAGAGATGAACACATGACCCTGATGTTTAAACAAGCGTTTTATTTTCTTAAACCAAGCTTATAGTGTAATAAAGCAAATTTACCAAAATGCGGTTAGCGACATAATCAGATTCTAGGTTTTTTTTATTTATCCTTTTAAAACAAATACTAGAACAGATTCTATTTGAAAGTGAACGTAATGATGAAAATATATGAACTCTACACATCGAAGTGCAAGTTTATTAAACAATAATATACGTGTTAAAGTTAATTTAATCCAAACTCGTGGCCTAACTTTCCAATACATTCGTGTGTCTTTGAGCACTTAACCAAGTACCAAATAAATAGGCTACTGTACATTACATCGTAATGTTTAATATAAACAATAGCTATCAGTACAATTTGCACATTAGACAGTCAGGAAGTTAAACCTCTTTGAATTTACACAAATTGTTGCGGTGGCTTCAAGATAATTCTATATTGTTTAAACAGATCATACTAATGAAAACAAGTCCCAACATGCCTCGTCTCCAGCCAGAAAAAAAGTGACAAATTGATACTGGATTTAAATGTTTCTCATATTTCGCTTAAGTTTTCGGGTTATTGCGCGAGCTGCACGGTGGCCTTTATGTAACATCGATCCATCAACTGAAGGTTTATCTACAGAAGTACTGTTTACATTTGTCGGGTGTGTTTAGCGATAAATTCATCACATTTAGGCAAATACTGCACTGATGAACTGGAGTGGAAATACGGGATGAGGAGAGGAGGCGGTGGGAACCGAGAGCGCGTCGACGCCGGACTCCGGCGTTACAGCTTGGACTCAGGGTACGTCGACTTGCCGTTTTTGTCCAGGCTGCAGTCACTGCTGTCCAGCCCGTTGCACTCCGACCAGGTGCCAAACATGCTGGGGTCCAGGGAGTTTATGAATCCCCCGGAACAGCGCGACAGATCGCAGGAGCTGACGTGGAGCCGCCGGTTCGCCTGCCTAGGGCAGCACAGCAGGCTTTTGAAGGCTTTCCTAAAGTCCGGACTCCGGCAGTATATGATGGGGTTGAAAGCCGAGTTCGCGTAGCCCAGCCAGTTTAAGAAGACGAAAAGGTTTTTGTCCACCACCTCTGCGCAAAACACTCTCGCCACATTGACGATGAAAAAGGGTAGCCAGCAGAGCGTGAAAGTGCCCATGATGATACCCAGCGTCTTCAGCGCCTTTTGCTCTTTTATGGCCAGGATTTTGCACGACTTCCTCCTGGCCGAAGTGTGGAGAAACCTGCCTTCGCACCGGCCGATCTTCTCCAGCTGCTTCTTGGCCTCCCTGTACACTCTGGCGTAGACGAAAATCATCACCACGAGTGGAATGTAAAACGATATTATGGAGGATGTGACTGCGTACGCCTGGTTGGTGACAAAGTCACAGCACTCGGGATTGTCGTAGCAGGCGGTCTCAGTGGCATCTCTCGACCAGTGACTCAGGATGGGAAGGAATGAAACCAGCGCCGAGATCGCCCACACGGCGCACACGATGGCCTTTGCCCTGGCTTTAGTGAGTAGGCTTTGGTACCGGAAAGGAGAGGTGATGGCTAGGTACCTGTCAATGGCGATGACGCAGAGCGTCTCGATGCTGGCAGTAACGCAAAGGACGTCCACCGAAATCCAAAACTCGCAAAAGAAGGACCCGTAGAGCCAAGAGTCTTTGACCACCAGGACGGCACCGAAAGGCACCACCAGCAAGCCCATGATCAGGTCCGCGCAAGCCAGCGACACTATGAACAGGTTGGTTAACGTTTGGAGCCGCTGGTTCTTGGCTATGGCCACTATCACCAGTATATTCCCAATGACGATGGTGAGCACGATCAGTCCCAGAAGCATCCCCATTCCCACCACCCACTGCTCCGTCATGTCAGCGTGCTGCGAGACGGCGTCCCGTTCCCCGGCTTCGCCCGAGTCGTTGCCGTGCCGGACATGAGCTGCCCCATCTCCCATGGTGAGCCACGCTGCACGGATGCAGCCGCATTCATGAATGCGGCCGTCCCGAGCACCGTCGGCTGGGGCTGGAGCAAGCGGGCGCTTCTCTCACTCCGCCGGGAGTCCGGGAGACATTAAAGCAGCGGTGACATCACGACACTTCGCGACCAATTGAGCCTCCAGTTAATAAGCGCTTATGTCCCAGCAGCGGACACCCCAGACAGGACCCTGCGCGCGTGATTACGCACCGTAGGAAAATTGTCAAGTAAATATATTTGTTATAGCGACTGTTGTAGTTTCCAGATCAGAAAGCACACTGCACAAGCGCGCATAAGGTATCTCTTTAGGCTACTGTTGTCGATGTGTGTACACTGAACAAAATACGTGCAAAATTGGAATGAAGAGCAGACATTCCTCTTTCTTCTGCTCTGGAACCCCGGAATTTACTTCATTTACATTATTCATTTACATCTCCCTGTGCGACTCATCATGGGGTATATGTGGCATAGCAGCAGCCTAATTTCATCTCAGTAAAAAAGTTCAGGAAATTTCCACGTCTCAAAATCATTGGGTATTTTTTTTTAATGCGGAGCGTTTCTTGCTATGACATGAGTTTGTAAAGGGCCGAACATCCGAGGGGTTCCTGCGTATTTTAGTTACCTGTTTTCTTTTGATGATCTGTATACCTGCCCCTGTCGTTATTAAAAAAAAAAAAAAAAAAAACTCTGACAGAAATCCCTCGCGCGCTGTTCGCTTGATCGACCCGAGGCCACATCCGCCGATGATCTCCGCGCTGTGCTTGCAAACTCAAGGGCGTATTTGATTTGATTTAATTTAATTTAGTTTTACAGGTGAACCCTCTCGGACCCGCAGTTCCTCCAGACGTCTTCGGAAAGATCCGGGCTGCGATTCCTGTGTGGGGAGAATGAGATCAGAGTCGCGCAGCTGCGCATGTTAATGCACTGGAGACGCTCCAAGCGGCAGATCGAAAGACGGAGAGGATGAAAGGAAAACGAAAAGCAGAAACCGGCACCGGGGATCGTGCTTTCGTCTCAAAACGTACACCCGAACACCCCCGATCGACCGAGGATAACTTTTCCGTGGTTTAAGTTGTACCCCAGATGTTCGGAACCGACCCAGGCTCCGGGAAAGAGGCAGCGAACGGCATGTTTGCCTCTCGGACGCCCGGGATAGCTTGGGAAGAAAGCCTGGCTCTCAGGCTGGGAGCCGATTAGCGTATCGCACCATCCGGTCGAGTCCAGAGTGGGTTTTAAAAGACAGAGGCTGCCGGTGTTCTGTCATAAAATACTACCTATCGAGACGTGCTATCGAGCCTTTCTGCGCATGTGCAGTTCCACCGTCTTGGGATTAGGGTTAGGTTTTAGGGGTTAGTGTTAGGGTTAAGGTAAGGGTTTTAGGGGTTTTGGGGGGTTAGGGTAAGAGTTAGGGTTAGGGCTATCGATTAGCACTACGGTAGCATTTTCCGACAAGGCAGCATATATCGACAGAACACCAGCTAATATCTAGGCTCCATTATCTTAAATTTGGACCGCGGCAGCTGTGTGATCCGCTCTGTGTAAAAAAAACCTGCAGTGAGGTCCCACGTAAGTGACTGTAGCAGCTTAGATCCTGCCCTGCTGTCCTTCTACTGGCATCTCCGGCACCCCCGGTATACCCTGAGAATCTCTTGGAATGCGGTGTACATCCTCTTTCTATCCTCAGTGTAAGCTACACTTCCATGTGCATCTTCTCACCTGAGCAGATATGACATACTGGGGGTTTCAAATGGATGCCTCAGCGCTCTGAGAGTCACTTTCAGTTTTCACTGGCTACAGCCCAGCATCTCCTTTGGAGATCTTCAGAAACTTCATAACCAGGTTACTCGGCCTGGGGAATGTGGCTCTCATATACAGTGGATACATACACAGTTTAGACAAGGCAATGGTGTCCTTTTCCTATTCCACACCTGGAAGTATGTGTGTGTGGCCACTGCTTTGTGAAAACAGACCCAGTGAAAATCCAACTGTTATAACAATGGAGCCAAGTCAAGCTGACCAGACACATGAGGGGTCCAGCAGGCTGCCCCTTAACCGCGGTCCGACCGCATGGCTTCGGGGGGGGGGGCGAGGGATCCAGCATGCTCACCTCACGGTGAGGGCACCTGACTAGCGGTCATGTGACCCTGCGGCCACTGTATGATTCAATAGGGAAGGGCGGCCAGGTGGCTCGGCTCTGCATGAGCACGTCATGCTGCACTGGGATTCGTGGTCTGGAGGGGCCCCTGCTGCACCCCCTGCCCCCACGGCTTGTTGACACTGGCAGTGCATCCCTGGCTGTGCACTGAGGCACTCCATCATCCGCGGTGACAGCTTCCTGTTTTCCGAGCCGCAGTTGGCCGGGGGGGGGTGGCGTCTGACTGACAGATCAGCTAGGCTGGGCACAGGCTTCCTCTAGGAGCTCCGCAGATGTGCTCAAGCGCAGCACACACTTCCATTTGATAGTATTATATAGCGCCCTTCCCTACACTGCCACGCATCATGACACAGTGAGAGCAGCATCAACGGCAGCTCCAACACACCGTATATTACCCCCCCACACCATGTAACGTCGTACCTCCCACACCGTATTTTACCCCCCCACACCACGCATCATTCCCCCAGCGCCAACCAGACGCCATAGTGACACATGGGACCCGAGAAACTGAAAGCTAAGCAAAGACACTGAAACTGTGCTCTGACCAAATGTTTTATTACAACCTTCATATGCTCACAAAAAGTCACATGTGTGAAGCCCGTCAGCTGACAGGGTCCCGCTTCTGTGACATCGGCAGACTGGGCCACACCCGCCTTTTAATCGAAGGAAGGGACTCCTGTAGGAACTGGCTAAAACCAGCTGGCAGAGGGGGCGGAGCCCGGAGCAGACCCCTGCCAGGACCCGGCCCGGCCGGGTCCACACCGCAGCAGCAGGCCTGCACCCCCCAGAACCATCCTTGTCTTTGATGCACCCAGAGACTCAGCCATGGCGATGCGGGTGCGGGGGGGATCTGGGGAATCGGCCCCATGTGGCATTCTGAGATTCACCGGGATTTTTGACACAGAAGACATGGGTGTGACAGAATGATGTGAGCGCAGCTACCCAGATTGGCCAGCAGGGCGGCACTCAAAGGGGCCAGAGAGCAGGACAGCTATACTCTAACTCAATATTCATGTGATTAGGTCCCAATAAAGCATTTAGTCAGTTATTTTCACATAAGCAGTAAGTACAAGTTAAATGCACTTGTGATGTCATGTTTTATGTGCTCCTCTGAAGGAGATGTTAAGCTCGGCATGGCGGCGCGGCGCCGGGGGGCTCCCGCTCGGCATGGCGGCGCCGGGGGGCTCCCGCTCGGCATGGCGGCATGGCGGCGCGGGGGGCTCCCGCTCGGCATGGCGGCGCGGCGCCGGAGCTCTGCGGAGAATTAAAATCTCGTGATAAAACATCACCAGCTGCAGCATTGATTTGGGAGGGACCAGGTCCGCAACAGGCACTTGGTTGTGCCGCTGCCGGGTTAGGGTGCGCCGAGGAGACGCCCGTGGCCGGAGGCGGCAGAAGAGGATGAGCATATGAGTGAGGACCCGGGAAGATGGGGGGGGCCACAGCAGCCCATCAGCAGTCTGAGGAAATGGAAGCCAGGGAGGCAAGACCTTCAGAAGGCGTGGGGCAGCGTAACCTCCACGGTGGCGTCGCACGGCTCACCGGCAACGCTCAGCGGCTGCTGGAACGACACTGCTCTCATCATGCACATGCCCCCCACACCACAGAAACATAGCCACGCGTCCAGCACCAGAGTGGGCGTAGCCTGTGGAGCCATTGCCGGGACAAGCACCGTGACAGACGGAAGCTCAGACATGTCTGTGATGTCACCGCTCACACGCTGGTCCTGCAGGAGCCACTCCTCCCCTGTAGGGGGCAGAAGGGATACCTCAATAGGAGACAACGCCACACAATAACAGCTATGGAGTGCGAAGGAAATGGGGTTGGGGGTGGGGAGATGAGCGGCTCACCATCTGCAGACAGGGCCCAGAAGCTGGGGGCCTCCGGGGTCAGCCTGGTCCCGGCTGGCAGCGAGAGCTGGAGCCGCAGAGTTATCCTTATTCCAGGAGGCACACTCAGTGGGGGCATCTCCACTTTGGGGGCAGATCTGGGGAGCGGGGGGGCCTTCCTGGGGGCAGTAGGGGCTATGGTATCCGTGACGTCCTCCTCCACAGAGATGGGCAGCTGGAGGGAGGGAGAGAGAGAGCTGTGACATAGTCCCAGGCCGCTGCCAGCCAAAAGCCTCCCCCCGAGCCTCACCAGTGACACCACGTCACTCTCCAGGTGCAGGACCTTGATCTGGTGGTTGTTAGTGTCGGCCACGTAGAGCACCTCCCCGTCGGCCCCCAGACACAGCCCCCCCGGCTCACTGAAGCCGGCCGCGCTGAAGGGCCCCAGGGCTCCTGCCGCCTCCCCACTGCCGGCCAGCACCCTGCACTGCTTGGTCCTAGGATCCACCACCTTGATCTGGATACAAACATGGACGGACGTGAACCGTGGTGGCTCTAGAGACATCGTTTGTCATCCTGACCGAAACCGGAAGGCCAATACTTCGAGATGAAAGTCAGTGGGGCCTGTGGGCTGCACAGGTACCTCAGACTGGCTCAGACTGGTTCGGGTTGAGAGCGCCCGCACACCTTGTGGTTGTAGGAGTCGGCGACGTACAGCAGCTGCTTCTGACGGCTCCAGGCCACGGCCAGCGGGTGCTGCAGCTTGGCGCTGACCCCAGCGCCGTCCACGTCTCCGAAAGCAAAGAGATTCTGGCAGGACAAAATCGGAGGAGCCGGGTCAAGCCTGCGGACTCCGTGTCATCCACACGACTCGCGTACCGCCTTGGGGGTATGGAGGGGCGATATCATATCGATACTGCATCCACATTCTGTACCATTAGACACAAAATCTAATAGATACGGCATGTTCTTCAAAACAGCTGGTGAAGAACCCCATTCTCCTGTGAGCAGAGCCTCCTGACATCCCCACTCGCCAAACAAAAGACAATCAGCTCCCCAGCCTCACCAGTGGGTCCCTCTCGCCCCCGACCAGGTTCCTGACGGCCCCATCCACAGTGGACACGGTGCGGACGGTGCTGCTCTCGCTGTCGGCTACAAACAGGCAGGCCCAGGGCGCGTCTGGCTCAGCAGCCAGGCCCGAGGGCTGTGCGAAGCCCGCCTTGTGGGGATAGGCGTTGTTGCGGTTCTCCTCGCTGCCGCTGCCGGCAAACCGCACGCACGTGCCCTTGGGGCATTCCCTGGAAAGGGAGTCAGAGAGAGCAGCTCAGGGCCCCAAAATGCACCAAGCCGGGCCGCTGCCGACATGCTTGGCCTGCTTGCCTGCCGCCCCAGCACGCACCTGCCTTTTGGCAGCTTCCCGTCCTCCAGGAACAGCGCCCACAGCTGGTGTGTGCCGGCCATTGCGATCCAGAGGACTCCATCTTCCGGGCCACCTGGAAGCAGGAACACACACACAGGGTCATGAAAGGAGGCTGGTGGGCGGCGCAGGTGCCCCGCAGCCAGGCGCCATGGGCGGTGTGGCAGACCAGTAGGTGGTGCAGGCCAACGTACTACAGGTCACAAGCAGTACTTACCAGCACTGCCCAGGGCCAGATCCCAGGGCGAGCTGATAGGCTGCTGGGGGCCGAAGCCCCCCCCCTCCTTGTCTGTGCCCTGCACCCCCACACCAGCCAGAGTGCTAACCTTCCCCTCCAGAAGATCGATCTGGATGGGAGGCAGGACTTATAGCAGAACAACCGGTGGCACAGACACACACAGCATAACCATCTCTTCACTACAGGGAGCTGGAGCTGCTGAGGTATGAATTATTAATGATGATTTTAATGGTGAATCAGCAGCTTGGTCAAGGGTGGTCAGGAACACAGTGAGAGGGCCACTGACCTTCCTGATGAGGTGATTCTCGGTGTCAGCGACGAAGACCACGTCTCCCTTAAAGGCGACGCCCTGGGGGGAGCTGAACAAGGCCTCCGCCGCATCCCCGTCTCTCCACCCGCTCACCGGCCCTGCCATGTGACAGACAGTGTTACACAGGAACACCTGAGCAGTCAGATGGTCTACAGGCCAGGGGAGGCATGGATCCGCTCAAACCATCCATGCACATTTTCTACGGCAGGACAGGAGACATCTTACCCCCCACAGAGTGAAGCACGTATCCTTGGCTGGAGAGAACGAGGACCCTGTGGTGCCCGGTGTCTGCCACCGCCAGCCGTCGCCCCTCACGGTCCGTCGCCACCTTCCCTGGGAAGGCCAGAGCAGAGGGGGGAGTGCTGTCCCGGCATAGTTTCTCCTGCAGGGCGGCGCCAGGCCGCAGCTGCCCAGCTTGGCCATAGTGTCGCAGAGAGGCCTGGGCGAACAGGAAGAGGCGGTCGCGGTGTCCCTCGCCCACCAGGGAGAAGAGCAGGTTTCCTCGTGGGCCGAGCAGCACCAGGGTGGGCCAGCAGGACACCTCAAGGGCCTGCCAGAGGCAGGCATGCGCGTCGTTCACGACGGGGTGGCCGATAGCGTGTCGCAGTACGGCACTCCGCACGCTGGCCGCTTCTCGCTCGTGCGGGAACTTCGCAGAGTGGACACCCACCACCAGCAGGCCGTCTGCAGGGGAGGGGAGGGGGAGGACACGGGTCAGGACAAGGGACAGTCCAAAACGAGGCTTCCAGAACCGGGCCGCATGTGGGTTGGGGGGGAGGGGCGTTAAGCAAGGCATGAGGGTCCTGTGTACCTTCACGCGGCAGGCAGACAGACAGCCGGCTCAGCCACTGTCAAACCAGGGACACGCCCCTCCCTAGGTCACATGGACAACCTAAATAACCAATCAGCACTGAGGAGGAGCCCAGCCCGGCAGGGGAGCTTCACAAGGAGACAGGTGTCAGTGAGTGCCAATGATGTTAGCTGGAGGAGAGCAGAGCGCCGACGCAGCATGCTGGCACAGGAGCGGGACGCTGGCCCACCTGGGGCATCAGTGACGTACTTCAGCTGGCCTCATTTCCTCTTTTATACGCCTGGCAAATCGGAAGCGGGTCAGGCTGCGCTGTGACTAGCAGGGCGGGCCGGGGGGGGGGGAGGCTCACGCAGCTGCCGTGCCCCCCAAATGGAGCTGGCCCTCACCAAGCCCTCGGCACATTGCTCCATTTAAAGATCCCCCTGAGGTTTTTGTCAATGTAAACCATAGGAGTTTGGCTTTTTCACACCGGTTTGTGCTTCCCATCAGCCATCACCTTCAGGCGGCAGAAATCATCCAGAAAGTCACACAGAGACCTAGAGGATGCAGGGAAGTCTGGGCCTCTTCACCCCCCCCCCCCCAGGTTAAAGAGCAGCAGCAAGACAAGCTGAAATACCAGAAAGCCACGGTGACTTAGCAGAAGCAGTCTGAACCGGCCTGATCCAGACCTAAACCTCACTGGGATTTTGTGGTAGAACCTAGAATGCAACATCGGACCTTAAGATAAAACTTTTCTGCATTGGGGAGGGAGGGGTGGGGGGTCAAAATAACCCAATCCTGGGACCGGAGATTAGGTTCCAAAAATAAAAGGTGCGGCTGGATGCTTGGTGAGGCCCAAAATCACATTTCAGGCAGAGTGGGTCACACTGTGTGACGGCAAACAGGACACAGTCCATTGGCTGATGTGACGAAGGAGATACGTGGGGTATATCTGAACAGGGTTTTAGTTAGAGAAGCTCTACCAGACTAACCTAAGGGATCTCAACATGCAACAAAAGCCACTCAACAACTCAAAGGTTATATTATTCCAAGAAGGCACATGGTAAACTTCCCAGACCGAGAGGAACACACACACAAACACCAAATTTCCTTCAGAATTAATAAATTATCTGTCTATATAAATTGTGTTGCACTGCTGCTCTTTCTAATCTAGAATGACAAAGTTCTGGCAAACTTAATAATCTGGTTCAATTGAGAGCATCAAATGAATACCAGACAAATGTGTAATTATATAGCAAAACTGTGCACAGTGTACAAAACAGTGGGTTAAATAACCAGAGAATGAGAGAGAAGCACAATCTCCAGGCAGCTGGTCTTGTTCATACTTTCAGAACCGCGGACAAAGGTGCCAAACAGTCCAGCACCATCCCGATGCCACAGCATCACAGCCGTCAGGACACGTCATACTGACCCATGGCCCGTAAACAATCAAGTGACCACAAAGACATAAGTGCAACAGCAACGGCGTACCCCTGTTCCACAACAGGGGCAAGGATAGCCTGTCCCAAACCTTCATGCTGAATACCCGGTGGAATGTACCAAAGGCACTGCCAGGGGTTAAGAGTGAGGGCGTGGCCCTGATAATGTTGTTGGATGGCCGGCAGGCAGAGGACGCTGCGCAGCAGAGATAGTGTCAGCAGGGACGTGCTAAATTAAGGCACCAGGGCCTATTTTGAGCCCCCCCACTTTGTCCTCATGGAAATATAGGCACCCTGTGGGGGCCCAGAATCACACAGGAGCTGAACACATTAATGCAGCTTAAAAGCATCATGGGACAAACCTCGATAACCCTGCAACTGGGGACCGTCAGCCACACGGCTTATCAGGCCACTCAATGCACCCCCCCCCCCAGACTGTGATAGGGGGCAAATTAACCCAACAGCAACCAAACTACGCTGCAAAACTAAAAGAAGCCCCTGTTAACATCGATATATTTACTCTGATCCTCAGTGATACAGATACTCATCCCCATGCATGGATATGAGAATGTAATGAAGCGGGGGGTGGGGGGCTGAGGTCACCCTGAGAGCCATATGTGGCTCTGATGGGAGCAGGCCTGCAGAGCAGTGGGGCCCCGTCCCACGGTGGCAGGAAGGAAGCCCAAAATGGGCCATGCAGACTGAAGGCAGCCCCAGCAGAGCCACCTCTCCCCTCCCGTTCACAAGAGCAGCCTCTCAGACCTGGTGTGTGGCAGTGCCCCGTCTCTGACCCACAGCAACTCTCACACCTTCCACAGGGTGGCGCCGCTCCAGCTCCTGCAGGTCCGGCAGCAGATGCATGCAGTTGATGCAGCAGAAGGTGAAGAAATCGAGCACCACCACTTTCCCAACAAGGTCTGTAGCCAGGGAGAGAGTACCCTTCGTGTTCAGCCACTCCAGGCCTGCAACAGGAGAGGCAGCTTCAGAGATGGCTTCATTGTTCGGAAAGACAAATGGCAGTGCAATAAGCGAGAAGATATAATATAAGGACCAATGGACAACAGGGATCCAGCAGCTATGCTGCCGGGACCCTTAATAAACAACAAAAGTGGTGATGCAATGGGGATACAGGTGACCGTATCCAGTCTAGCTGTCACCAAGCACACAAACAATGTGCAATGACCATATACTGTACAGCACTATCAGCAGAGGTGGATAGTTCAGGTCCAGAGAGTAAAAATGCAGACCAACCAACCAACTAGTGGAGTACTCTGTGACTCTCACTCTTTATACTCTGTACTTTAACTCTCTGGACCTGAATTACCCACCTCTGACTATGGGGCTGAAGCGCAACACGGACATCCACATCTAGCTACCTATTTGTAATACGCTGTTAGCTTGTGACGTTAAAGCTGCGACCCAAGACATTGCCCCCGTTCGGTTTAGACTTTCCGCCTGGTAATAGTCTGTTACGAGCCCTTCTCTCATAAGAAGCGCTGGAAAGGCACCAGCAACTGCGCGGAATGTTCAGCTTTTACTCTGAAGCAGTGAAGCGGCAACAGGTCGGTGCCGATTCCTGCGCAGCCCGGGGTTCTGTCATAAAATCCTACCTATCGAGACGTGCTATCGAGCCTTTCTGCGCATGTGCAGTTCCACCGTTTTGGGATTAGGGTTAGGTTTTAGGGGTTAGGGGGTTATGGTTAGGGTAAGAGTTAGGGTTAGGACTATTGATTAGCACTACGGTAGCATTTTTCGACAAGACAGCAGAACACCGACCCGCCTCACTACACTCGCCTTCTTCAAAGTCGGGGATTGTCAGGTCCTTTTCACTGTCGTCGATTTTTTCCAGATACTGAAGCACAAGCTCCATTTGTTCCTCTGGGGATATGGCATCCTCCAAGGCGTAGTCCAGCTGGCTTTGGACCGGCAGCAGATCTGCGATGGTACTGTGAGTCGCCATCTTTCAGACAGCAGTGCGAAGTGGGGTAAAAGCACCGTCTCGTCCGCTCACGGAAGATTCGTCAGCAGGACTTGAAACTTCGATTGTAATTGGCTTTAACATTAAACGATTTAAGGAAAGTAATGTAAATAATTTAAGGCCTCGTTCCTTGCACTTTTCCTCTGTTAGGGTCTTCTGTGTAAATGTAATCGGTAGTAATGTGTGGAATCGGCCGTCGCCGTTTCGGCGATAGCATACTTGCGGATTTGGCGGTAACTCTATCAGCTCTCAAATCGGAGCGTGGAAGCTAGTTCTCAGAGTAAACCTTGGAGTTTGTTTGCGTATGATCGTGTTTGACCGCATCTTTCTATTTCAAAGTTTTCCTGACACGGCATATATGAATATCTTTAAAAGAATTACTCTTTTCAGAGAAGTATGAAGCCTGTAGCTGCAGCTGGCTAAGCTGCTAACGCTAACCTGTAAACTGCAGCTGTTGGCAGTCATTTGGCACGCGGCTGCTTGCGTGTGCACCCATCGCGGTGGGGATTCGTTTCCAGATGTTTCCAGATGTGTGCATGTAACGTAAAGGGATTTACGACACGAACGTGGAAGTGCTGTGATTTCTTTTGGTGGCTGAAATGCCCGAGAGCGACTCTGAAAATGACATCTGGGAATACAAACCTCTCCGCAAAACCAAGAGGCCGAAGAAGCGGCCGGCCTCCAGTCACTGCGCGCCGGCCAGGGGGGCGGCCCGAGGCCGTGCTTCGGGCTGCGCGGCGTCCCCTGCTGCCGTCTGCCCGAGCTGCCAGATGCCTTTCCGCATCCTGTTGGGCCAGTCGCCTCAGTGGCATGTCTCCGAGTGCCTGGAAGTCAGCGGCCCGAAGGACGGTAAGGGGTTTATCATTAGTGACGCACTGATGTGTAGCTAAGGCTGGATGTTGGATGACAGGCTATGCTTAGTCTAAGGGCAATGGTGGCCTAATGGTTAGGGAAGCGCACTTGTAATTGAAAGATCGGTGGTTTGAATCTCCGACCAGCAAGGTACCGCCCCCAAGCACTGCTCCCCTGGCGCTGAATTAGCTGCCCCCTGCTATGTCAAATATGGGTTAAATGCAGACGACACATTTCGTTGTTGTGTGCTGTGGTGTGTGAACAATGATCACTGATGACTAAATTATATATTAAAACAGACATTTAATGGGACCTGTGGTGCTGGCTTCATTAATCATTCTCATTGCTCCAAACCTTCTCTTATCTTTCCACTCCCTACCCCACCTGAACAAGCAGAATGTCCCGATGGCCTCAGCTGTTCCTCCACCATTCCGAGCCACTACAGGAAGTACAGCCACTCACAGCTGGCCCACTGCCGCGCAGCTGGTGATGAGGGCGTGGCCAGCCTGGGGGGGCTCCTGGAGGATATGCCCAGCACCTCTAGCCCGACCCCCTCCCCCAGCAAGCAGTCCAGGCCAGACCTGCCGGTAGCTCATGCCTCCTCCAACGCCCTGATGTGCCTTCGGTCCCCCACTGTAAAGGACATCCAGAAAAAGAAGGGCTGGTCCCCGTCTGTCAGGGGTGGGAAGACAGCCTCCCGCCAGGGTGGAGATACCTCTACTCCTTCTAAAGCCAGTAGGGTGTGTGATGCTCCGGTGGTCACACCTTCCTCATTGGAATCTGCCCACCATTCCAGTGGCAGCGATGACATCTCCTACTCCCCCATCTCCTCTTTGCCCACGGACGTCGAGGTGGTGTCCTCCAGGAAAGTGCTGTTCAGCAGTGATATGACAGGAATCAAGGATGAGGACAAGGATTCCCTGATACAGCACGACAGTGACGATGACCGCCTTGCTGAGCTCCTGGCCCAGCAGGAGCAGGACAGCAAAGTGTTAGCAGAGACTCACCTGCAGGACCAGGGAAGGCTCGTCAACTCATTAACACCTGCTAATTACTTGCCTGCTGGTACGACAGATGCCGGGGGTTCACATGAGTCCAATGCTCCTGTTCTTAATTTAAAGGAGGAAGGCATGGTATCTGAGGACCCTGATTGGTGCTCTCCTCAAAGCCTGGTGTTGGAAAACCTGCGGGACCATTTGTTGAGCAGAGCTGAGTGGAGCAGTCAGGACAACGGTGGTGAAGAAGCACTTGAGCTCCCCCAGGGACTGAACCGTATAGGTGATATGGCCCCAAGAAAGACCCAGGTAAAACCAGCTTCCTCCACACTCAAGCAGACGGACATCGGTGTTTTCTTCGGCTTGAAGCCTCTGAAGAAGGAAGAACCCAAGCCTCAGCCTGAGGTTACCCCAGCTGTTGAGAACATTCAGCAGGTGACCCCAATACTGGCAGGAGGACGGTGTGCTGGGGACAGGAGGAAGAGGAAAGCCTCCCATTCTCTGGGTGATCCGGATGCAGCAGCCCAGGCAGCTGAGAGTGACACTGTACCTATGGCAAAGGCCGACAGAGCCAGGAGACCCTGGAGGAAGAGGTGGGCTCGAGGAAGAGCCAGCGAGGATGACACAGAGCGGGTGAAACGCTGCCCTTTCTACAAGAAGATCCCAGGTTGGGTCCGTGTGTGTGTGTCCTGATTAGCACTTGCTGTAGTCTCTCAGCATGGCTGAGGGCCCCTGGGCTCTGGCATTGGTGGTGTGGTCTCTGCTGTGCTCTGCCTCTTCCCCAGTAGATTTGCATTTATTGCCTTCTGAGTGCAGGATAGGAACCAGATGATCCAGAGCTTGTGATACCACAATATTGAGGCTCATGTCTTGGTGACTGGAGCAGCTAAGGTGTTAGCAGCACTAGATCGATCAGACAGTCACTTCCAATCTATAGGGTAAATGGAAACCTGAGAAAATGGTTGCCTAAAACTTGTTGGTGTTCTGGCCCCATGTTGCTTATGTTTATGCAAACTGACTTATTTGTGGGGGAGGATGGATTGAGTTTAATAAGCATTTAAATCATTCTAATGGTGTGTGTTTTGTGTGTGTTTGTCTTTGGGGGTGGTGTAGGCACTGGCTTTGTAGTAGATGCCTTCCAGTACGGGCTGATAGATGGCATCACCTGCTACTTCCTTTCCCATTTTCACTCTGACCACTACGGCGGACTCACAAAGCACTCCAGGCTGCCCATCTACTGCAACAAGGTGGGCAATGACCCAGTCCCTGCTGAGGTGCCTGGAGATCTGAGCTGACTGTCTCCACTTGCTTGTGGTGTTGAATGTCCTCTGATGGTCATCAGTTGTCTGGTCATTGCTCAGCACTCCTACAGGTGTGTGTGTCACTGCTGTCTGTCACACCCCAGATCACCGGTAACCTGGTGAAGACCAAGCTGCGGGTAGAGGAACAGTACATTCACATTCTCCCGATGAACACTGAGGTCTTTGTAGAGGGTGTGCGGGTGCTGCTGCTGGATGCCAACCAGTGAGTATCGCTCTCTGCAGTCTATGATTGTGTGCATAGACACTCCGTAAGCTTGGACCTTCTGAATTGGTTGTCAATGATCCCAGTTGCCTACTTGCTTAATTGTCATGCTGTTGTCCACCTGCTCTGCTGTTCAGATTCACAGCCCTGCCTCCCACTCACTCGTGGGCTTTTATCTTGGAGTTCCCTCCTTTTAGACCATCGATCATTTAGACTTTTTTTTTTTTTTTTTTTTTTAAGCACTTTTCATATAAACACAATGTAACACAAAGTGCTTTATATAATGAAAACAACATCCCCGCCACCCCCACCCATATACCAAATAATTAAATGGACTAACATAAATAGATAAAAGTCAAATCAATAAAACTCAAGTAAAAGCCAGATTAAAAAGAGAGCTCTTACGATGTCTTGCGGTGTGGCGACCGTGGTCACGCTTCGTCCTTGGAGCCGTGTGGATGTCTCGCGGTGTGGCGACCGCGGTCACGCTTCGTCCTTGGAGCCGTGTGGATGTCTCGCGCTGTGGCGACCGCGGTCACGCTTCGTCCTTGGAGCCGTGTGGATGTCTCGCGGTGACTTTTCCTCCCTCTCAGCTGTCCAGGTGCAGCCATGCTCCTGTTCCTGCTAGCCGACGGGCAGACCATCCTGCACACGGGCGACTTCCGGGCCAACCCGTCTATGGAACGTTACCCAGAGCTGCAAGGCTGCAGGGTGCAGACTGTATATCTGGACACCACGTGAGTGAGTCTGCATGAGTGCTGTGGTCTGTAACTACAGCATCCTATGATCCAAACACCCAGACACAATAGTGAGGTTTTTCTTAATCCCCCCCACCCCCCCGTACAGGTACTGCAGTCCAGAGTATGCCTTCCCCCCCCAACAGGAGGTCATCACATTTGCTGTCAATGTGGCCTTTGAGTATGTGACCCTGCATCCCTGCACGCTGGTCGTGTGTGGTGCCTATGCTGTGGGTAAGGAGAAGGTATTCCTTGGTGAGTGCTGCAGCCTTGGTGGGGGGGCCTTGTGACACCCAGCCAAAGGGGGCCCTTGCTTATGTGTGTGTGTGTGTGTGTCCCCTCCCACAGCACTGGCAGAGGTGCTCGGCTGTAAGGTTGGCATGTCTCGGGACAAGTTCCTCACCATGAGCTGCCTAGAGTCTGAGCAGGTCTCCCGGCTCGTCACCACGGACTGGCGCTCTGCCCGGGTTCATGTGCTGCCCATGGGACAGGTCAACGTCAAGGTCTGTCCTGTCGCTCTCACATGTCCCTGTGGCTTGTTCTACCGCCCACGTGGAAAGGGGAAGTGCCGTCATATGGATACTGTGTGTGTAGACTAGCTCTGTTGCCATCTAAGTTGCAGTGAAGGACTCTGATGGGGGGGGGTCTCCACTCTCTGCTTAGTGGGCTTGTGGCTCCATCTCTCAGTGCTCAGTCTGTCAGGTGCTGTCCTGACTCTCTGCTGTTTCCAGGGGCTGCAGACTCACCTTAGGAAGTTCTCTGGGACCTATAATAAAGTTCTGGCCTTCAAGCCCACGGGCTGGACCTTCTCAAGCCAGGCTGCGGGTTTGGAAGACATCCAGCCTGTGGTCAGGGACAACATTACTGTCTACGGTGGGTGTGCATTGGATCATTTTTAAGAGTATTTCCATTTAAAGTGCTACTCTGTGGCTCTGTATCTCGAATTGTGCGTGAATAGTCTCCGATCTGTGAGCCTTTCGTCTTACAAACAGTCTCCCCTTCCAGAAATCCCCTACAGCGAGCACAGTAGCTATGTGGAGCTGAAGCGCTTCATCCAGTGGCTGAAGCCAAAGAAGATCATCCCCACCGTGAACGCAGGCAGCTGGGCAAGCCGCAAGCCCATGGAGCAGATGTTTAGTGGCTGGATGGCGGAGCTTGTGGCTGGTGGGGGCAGGTCTGGAACCCGAGTGGGTGGGGTTAATCCAGAAACGGGTCAGCACTGATGTGGGTGGAACTTAAGCTGCAGGGCGGATCGTCAGGTAATGACGCCCATGTAGTGCTAGTGAAAAGGTGTGTGACACGAGGACAGCTGCTGAATGCCTGAATTGGCAGGAAACTGGGTCAGCTGTTTGTTTTTTAATTGTTTCTAATTGTGCAAGAAGTCTGATGCTGCTGGAATCACAACTGTATTAAAATGGAATTTCCATTAAATTAAATGGGTTTTGTATGTCCTCTTAATGTGTAGACTGTCTAACTCCTGGAACATTAAACACAGTGAGTCTCCTGCATTCTGCCGTCTGTGCGTGTGGGGGGGCTTACCTGAAATGCTTAGCACCATGGTGCCATGGTTAATCCCCAGTTCAGGTAGCCAGCCCTGGACTGTGAACCCCCCCCCCCCCCCCCCTCGAGGATAACATGGCTTAAGTGAAATGTTGCTATGGAGATAGATAAAGCATCTCATCTATTGAGTGAGCCATTAAGTTCTGTTTCAGTGACTAAGTGACTGATCCTGAGCATTAATCTGTTCGTGATCCAGATTATGGAAGAAGCTGTGTGATGCACCTTAGCCCAAAGCGCTTTTGCTGCCAGATGCTCTGTCGCTTGCTGGTTTTCTTGTAAGGCACAGATGTGGGCCAGGTCCCTGCTGAGGCTGCACCCAGTCCTGGTTCAGATAAAATAGAGTAGTGATACTTCTTTGGTCCCCATGGGGACAATCTGTTTTTCCCTCCTCCATCTTGTTCTCCATGAGACACAGACTCATATACAGGTGAGAGCAAGCTTTGGGGTCACCGTGCAGGGTCAGCCAGCATGCAGCACCCCCTGGTGCTGGGGGGGTCACAGTGCAGGGTCAGCCAACATGCAGCGGCCCCTGGTGCTGGGGGGGGGTCACAGTGCAGGGTCAGCCAGACTTCTGCCGTGGCTTGAACCGGCAACCTTCCCATCAGGGGCACAGAGGCTTAGCCTGCAGATTCAGGATTCGCTCTCTTTTTGGTATCCCTCACTGTCACAGAAACCTGAAAATCCTAAATCCACTTCTTAATGGATTGGCCTGGTCCATCTCCCTGGCCCTTGAGTGGCTGACTGGAAGCCCGCTCTGTGGTCCGGGGGGGTCCTGCTGGCAGTGAGAAAGAAGGCCTTTTCCCCCTAGTTGCAGTTTAAAGAGGCGCTTTTTAAAAAGCAGATATAAATATGAAGCTTTTGATGCTGAAGGCCATGTTTTTGGCCTTGTTTAAAATGTAATCATGATGTTTTTCTGGGGATTAAAAGCCCTGGTGATCAGTCATAGTGTGAGCCCAGTCTCCCTGGCAGCTCTGGGGGAAAGGTCAGGTCTCCAGCAGCACTGATGGATGCGCTGGATTGTGGAGAGGGGGGGTTCAGCCGGCATTGTTTCAGAAGCTTCCCACTATGCAGTCCAGGTGCCTTTGCCCCCCCATGTGTATTAGTAGGAAGCTTGTTTACGCTTTGCCTTAGCACATGGAATTCTGAGCAGAGGCTTTTCTTGTTGACTGACGAAGGGGTTTCTTAGTCGTTGACTTGATGGCTTTCAAATGTGCCACCTGCTTCCTTTCATCCCGTTACCTGTGATGTCCCGGTCATTAATGATTTAATGAAACTTTTTATCAACTCATCTTTACAGGAAGCCAGTCCCAAGAAATTGGCAGTCAAGATATAAAGGGCAAGAAAGGGGACCAGCACCTAATGTTTGCTATGATAAAACGAGCATGGATGAGAAGTGAGAGGGGTATGGATGACTGACTGATGTCATTAGGAGCAGGACATCCCATTGGAATCTGGGAGTCGGTGAATCCGCCAGCCAATCAAAGGGGCTGTCCTAGCACCAGGGTCCCCGTGAGCCTCGACCCTCATCCATTTTAGCTTGAAAATACTTCATAACTGTGCTTTTAAGAATGTTTGCTGGATCGATTTAGTTATGTGTTGCGTTTTTTGTGGGGCGATTCATGTTTTGCCACTACCTCTGAAATCCTTTATTTATCTATCTGATTTCATAAATTATGTCTTTGGATTTGTGGTGGAGAAATGTTGCAGTTCCTCTGTAATCCTACAGGTGGTGCACTCTAAACTATTCCCACATCGCCAGGCAGCACAGGATCCTGTGGAATAGCAGCCAGTTATTCCCTAACTTTTTTAAGCAATGACAAGTATAGTGGACAATAGTAGAGATTTGCACTGCTCCTGCACAGTTTAAATATAAAGTATCGAGGAACTTTGGCTTTCAAGATTTAAATGGTAAAGTGGAGTTGGACATGAGTCATCCTGTATGCAAACTTTACCCTGCGAAAGTTACGCGTTGTGATAATGCGAGAGACATACGGGCACATATTGCATCCTGAGACAGACAAGGCAGTGAAGGAGCATAAAAGCTCAGTGTAGTTTATGCTACGGAAGCAGCAAAAGTAGCTTTTTGTTGTTTTTTTAATTTTGTTAAAATTTATACTGTTGTATTTGAAGTTGTTTCGTCTTGTTTAAATGCTCTCTGTTTTTTTGAGGAGGAAAATCATTTGAAGTGTGCTGTGTTTCCTCATGTTCAACTCAGCTGTGCAGTTACTGAGTAAAGCTTTAGTGGTATGACGATTTTTAAATTTTATTTATTTATTTTACACGGTTCAAGGTTTTAAAATTCTAAAAAAGGAAACAAATCATAGTATCAAATCGAGATATTCATAGAAATGCAATACATATCAAATCGGCACCTAGGTATCATGATAATCTTATTGGGAGGTCTGGTGATTCCCATCCCTGTTTTTTTTATATATATTTTTTCACATTTGGTCATAATTTCATAGCTGCTTAAACCAGCCTGTAGAACACAGTCAGTCTCGTGCCACTATCTGTCCACAATGACACGAAGGTGGTTCCTGTACATGCCCTCCGTCCGCCATGCCTGCCTTTCTGGGAATCACCTCTGACTCCCCCTGAAGTCCATCTCACAGTGGTGTGGAGGGGCCAGAACGGCAAGTCCTCGCCTCACTTACAGGTGCAGCTGCCAGGCTGGAAGCCCAAGGAGTCCGGGAACCTGAGCAGGGTCACTGTGACCTGAGGAGAGGCAGCAGACTGGTGTGTGAGTGACTGTGTCTGAGGCCTGTCCACGTGCGTGTGCCTGAGCGGGAGGTTGGTGATGGTGTGTGTACCTTCTGCTTCAGAAGCTTGCCCAGAAACATTTGCAAGTCAGCCACACAGTCTGTTTTCATGTCGTTCACGGCTAGGATCTGGTCACCCTTGTGGAAGAGGCAGGTCGACCCTAAGGGGGGGCTCCACTCACTGACACTGGGGGGAGGGAGGAGGGGGTCAGCTGCAGCCTATATTGAAAGCGACAGTATAGGGTGCTATCATTTAGACCAGGGTTCTTCAAGTCTGGACCTCGATTCCAAATCCAGGAGAACATGCAAACTCCACACACGGAACCCTGGCAGAGACTCAGACCTTGCGGGGAGAACATGCAAACTCCACACACGGAACCCTGGCAGAGACTGAAACCTCGGTTCCAGGGGTGTGAGGCGACTGTGCTAACCACTGCACTACTTAAAATTTCTTTTTGATAAACAGCTTATATGTCTTATATTAAATCTATCTAGATACAGCTCATTCAGGTTCTCCTCCCAAAGTCACTGCCTGAAAGCCTAGATGAGGGCCAAGGCATACCGAAAACCCACCAGGGTGTCCCGTCAGCATCTTCCAGCTTCAGATGGTGCTTCAGGTCACTCAGGTCCACTGAAATCTCTTTCCATATGGGGATTTTATCTCTGGAAAAAGGAAAAGAATTTTAGCATTTAGTCGAAAGAACTACAGTACCCAGAGTTCCCTAGGCAGAGACTCATCAGAAAGAGCCCCTGAATTACCCATCGATCTGTTCCTGCCACTTTGCACAGGCCTCCTGATTTAACGGCTGGTCTCTCTGCTTTATTTCAGTTTTGGATAGAGACTCAGGATCTGATATGTCTTCTGTGATGTTCCTGTGGAAATGCCAAGTGATTATAATGATGTCACATTTTTAAGAAAAACACAATATTTTGGTTTAAGGTTAAATGGTATTAAAAGTAATGCTGAGAAATGTTTTATATTATTTTTGCACAGGATGCCATGGTGATCAAAGGTTGGGCCTCTCAATTCCACCCCCAAGAAAGGTATGCCTGTGCACTAATATGAATCTAGGGGTATCCCCACAACCCTGACCAGACTCAGGATGGAGGTTGGGGGTTTTGGTGTGGCTTCAACAGATGTGGATGGAGGACGGCAAGTAACAGAGGTGAAGGACATGACTTTGAGGATCGCTGTTCCTATTCCGTGGATTGTCCTGCTGTTCGGCCTGCCACTCAAACCACGCATTTGCTTTAGGCCTCCTGAAGTTTGGGGGCCCCCTACTGGCCACAAACAGTCACTATGGTACATATCAAATAAACACATAGCTATGATCTGACGCTACCAGCTAGCTGTTCATTTCATTTTTGAAAGATCTGAAGGGGGTGTGGAGCCCAGAAGTAACTGTTGGAGTGGGGGTCCCAGAAGCAGCACACCTGGCCCTGGTTCTACCCTACAAGGTACTCTTGGAATATTTCTGTAAACTGGTGAAACTGCCAATTGGATAAAAGTGTGTCTTGTTAAGCCGAAGACAAAAAAACATTGCTGTGTTAAGGAATCTCAGTTTAAGAGGGACTTTATGTGACACAAGGTCAGGTCTGATCTCCACTCCTGCCCTTTGTTCCCTCACTTCTGCCCCAGTGCCTGGAATGTACTAGGTGGACCTGAGCAACCGGCTCCCAGAAATGCAGACCGGTCCAGAAGTATGTGAGCTCTGACACATCACTGTGAACAGTGCCAGCTATTGTCTTTGTGGTCTTTCCACACACAGCAGCTGTTCTTCCATTTCCGTACTTAGTTTAGGCTATCTGAGTAGTCTGTGAAGCTTTTGCCCCATATGGAGGGCTGGATGCCCCCAGATTGCAGTCATCACTCACTCTTCAGTGAAGCTGTCTGACCATCCACCATTGTTGACCTGCGGGTCCACTATCTTCATCCTCTTGGTCTCCTCAGTGACAGATGACAGGGATTGGCTCTCCTGCTTCCTTCAGAAGCAAAAAGTCCTGCTCTTTAGTCTCCGTTCCCCTCCCGTGTACTTGGCAGATGTGGTCGACTACAAATTCTCTACTTACATTGGGAAATTCTCATATAAGTGCTCCTCATCCTTCAGCATTTCGTACCTGTCACAATCAAAGCAACATTAGAATCATCTCTCTCTGCAGCCAGCTTGGTTTTCCAGATAGCTTCTCTGGGTCCCAAACAGCTGGTGCCAGCTCTGCGAAAGGCCATATATCACAAATGGATACTGCAGGACTTGGGTCCTGCTCCGAGGCCTTGAACCAGCTACATTCAGCAAATGAACTCACACGTTTAGTCAGTTTTCTATCTGCATTCAACAGAGATGTTAACCTTTGGGAAAATGTTAGTGACAGTCCTGGAGGTAAAGGCTGTGAAAGTGACCGGTTCTGGGATGAAGGAAACGGTGAAAGAAACTTACATTCTGTCCATTCTGGTGTAAAAACTCTCTTCTTCCTCAGCTTCATCATCATCATCATCATCATCATCCTCTTCATTTCCCTAAATTATTATTTGATATAAACAGATGAAGAGCTGGTGGGTGCTAGGATGGTGCTTCACACTCTCCAGAGATACCTCTTCAAATCACCAAAAGTATCCTGGGGTCTTTCCACACTCACTGGGTGTGTGACAGGGACCATCAGCTTATTGGCAGGACTGGCAGTGACCTTGGCTACTTTAACTAAGGGAGCATTTTGTTAAAAGGCTGAAGGTCATGGATGCTCACGTTAAACATCCTGTCCACACCTAAGTATCTTCTTGTTCCCTGTACAGCTAAACACCGACCCAGTGTAAGATAAGTATTTACCCTTTAGAAAGCATTTTGGCCATTTAGTGCCCGTTACTCCACACCGACCTGCTCCGGCTTTGAGATGACTTAAACCCAAAGTCTCCCTCCCCTGGTGTGGCCTGCCATGGGCGTGTTGGCTTCAGAACCCCCCTGAGGCTTTGGCACAGAGGTTAGTGGCAGTAACATGGCCCTGGCACCTGAGCCATGATATCCAGGATACTCTTGGGCGTGTCGTAGTGGGAGTGTCGGGCATCCTCTTGTGCCTTGTGCTCTAGACAGGATGCGGGTCGCCTGTTTCCAGTCTTGTTAGATGCCTGTTAATAATAACAATAATAACTGATACTTTGTTGATTCCCATGGGGAAATTTTCTTCACACCAGCCCCAACTTGCTCTCTGCAGGTGAAAACAAGTGAAGGGCAGTGAAGGGCAGTGAAGGGCAGTGAAGGGCAGCCTCCCACAGCAGTGCCCAGCACATGGGGGTTAGGGGGGGCTAAGGGCCTTGCTCAAGGTCCCGCAGATGTGCCGAGACCAGGCTCGAACTGACAACCTTCTGATCACAGGTACAGAGGTTTAGCCCACTGCTCCATGCTGCCCCCTGCTGTTTCCCACGACTTAGCAGCAGTTAAACTCTACGCGTTTAACCACCCCCCCCCCCCAGCCACACATATACAACATATTTGTTTCAAGGTTGTACTACGTTCTGTATTGAAAGGGTGGTAGGCTGGCATAGGCTCAGCCAGTTCGCTACCAAGTCGCTCCCAGCCTACCTGATGCTCAGCGAGAAGCATGTCTATGCTTGGTGCAGAGGCAGAGCGGCTCCTCTGGGGGGGGGGAGAAGAAATGATCTCATGAACAAATCACAGCAATGAGAGTGGGTAGCTTTGTACCCTTTGATCCTGGAATTTCAGTTTCTGCCTGGGATATACCAGGCAGGCAGAAGGAGGCCCGTACCGTGTCGTCTTTAGAAGAGAGATTCCTTAGTGCCTTATAGATGTCACTGAACCATCCATCCACCTCCAGCCTGTAACCATGGAGGTGGGCTTGTTAGTAATCATTAGCCAGGATGTTCTCTGGTCTGACTGAGGAAAATATAGATTTTTTCCCCCACTTTTGATGTTGATGGTCTACGGCCACTCATTTTGTTGAGCTTAGATCCTTTGTAATATGATTATCAAAAATGCGTATCTGAGATTTTGAACCCACACCCTACACACTCTTCCCAACGGCACAAGATCACTGGGTGACACACATGGGAAATATATCCAGCTGCAAACCCCCCTTATGTATTGCTCACATGAGAGTGACCTCACAATGAAAAGGTCCAGCAGACAGAAGCAGACTATGAATCAGCCACACAGGACTCAGATGTGCAGGGAGGTAGTTAAGGGGCAGGTGGTCAACAGCATCCCATCAATGCCTAAGCTGGTCCCACTGAGCCCTCAAACACGGCCTAGTAAGTGAGAAGGTCAGTATGCTGCTTCTCACTTCCCATCAGAGACTAACAGGCCTTTCGTCATTTGGCCAATGAGCTGTGCCATGGGCAGTGAAGCACATTTATAACCAAAGGTTCTAACCAAAGGTTTGCAGGTTCGGCTTCCTGCAGAAGACATTCATAGCCTGCTGTTAAGTGAAGCTTCCCCGGCCACCATGTGGAGACCGACTTGTACTACTCACACTTACTTCAGCTCGCTGATGAGGTAATAGTCTCTGTCATTGGCGTGGATGTAGAGCACACAGTCGGGGGGGCATTTGAAGGTTTTGTGGATCCACTCCCACCTCTTTTGCTTCTCTGGGGCAGGGTAAATCACTGAGATCCTGGCAGGAAATGATACAGTGAATCACAGCAAACTGGCGCCTGGCAGAGGCCAGTGAGAGGCAGACCGAGCTGCTTGGCGGTTAGCGGACATACTTAGAGAGGTCGATGACCCCCTGCGCTTTCTCCCGCTCGTCCTCACTCCGGTAATACTTCAGCAGATGTGTGCCCCAGATGGTTTTAAACAGCACAAAGAAACGCTTCTTCCAGGATTTCTGCAGGAACAGAGGAGGTTTTTATACCCATTAACCACAAGGAAACTGAAAAGAAAATGAAGAGCGACAGCAGGAACTTTCTGTGGTAAATCTCATTCATGTCAAGAATCGGAATCGTAAAGATTTTTATTGACCAAATACATTAAAGATACAAGAAATTTTGTTGGGTCTGCTCCTGTAAAATGCATAATATGCAGGACAACTGGATAAGGCGATTTATAATTATGTATAATGTTAATGTTACAGTTCTTTTACACGAGATTGTATACTGAGAAGCAGCATGGGATGGATCAATGGTGAAATAAACAAACAAACAAAGAAAGTGAATGTAAGTAAACCAGGGTGATGCTGAGAGGAATGAAATAACCTTGACAGTAGCCTTTTACAGAAAGTCCACCTCCCAGTTTCATCACAAAAATTCCTCTTTCTTTCACAGGTTCGATTCAGTAACTACTGATCACTTTATTTCCGAATGTGTGTGTGAAGTCAAAATGTGCATGGAGAAAGTTCACAGCAGTGTGCATCACTCAACTTCTGCAAGGAAGCAGAAAACTCACCAAAGACTTGAAACGGCCAGCTGGAGGAGATTTGATTAGGTGTCCAGTGCGCACCTCCTCCACGTCCGCCACTGTGGTGTAGAACACCGTCTGTGTACCTAGAAACATTAGTAAATGGTAAACTGGGGAACTTTTGGTGTGCATAGAATAGTCATATTTAACTCAATCTGATCAATTTGACTTTCAGTCAAAACACCTTTAGACAACAATAATATATATATTTTTTAAATGGCTGTATAACTAAAATTGCCCCATAAACTATATGAGGCATTACTGTCATAAAATGATGCTCACATTAGGCTTTCTGATTGAACCATGATTCCCAGAGGGTAAATTTACAGCAGTACATCTGTAAGACCCTATTGTAGTGCTCGTATATCTTTTTATCAATCAGTTAGTACCTGCCAGTTTCCTGCACACAGATTCTGAATGATGTTTCTGTGCTTTTGTTCTTTTGCAATAACAAGAGTCGCACTGAGGTTCCATCATTGAATGCAGAAGGAACCCAGTGCAGTGTTTTGTTTACAAGCTCAGTAAATGTTTATGGCGTCCTTAAAAATAAGCCTCGTTGAAGGTACCAAGACAAGGCAGGGCTATGACGACTGCCTGCCAGGGTCATTTCACACGGCGTTTGGTGACACTAAGCCCACCGCTTCCCATCGTACTTGGTATCCGCTGGGGGTTCATCCCGAGGATGTTGGATCCTACTGCCTGTGCTGAGAGGAAAGGTCTGGCAAGAGCAGGGCCCAGCGGACCTGAGACAGTGAGATAGTGGACATCTACTGAGCTTGTCCATTTCCTCGCGGTGACATCTCTGTGCATTTTTGGGAAAACACCACAAACAACAGTGGCATAGAAGCACACACTCACAGGTGCATCTACAGGAGGTGTGACATGCTACCCGGTGACCCCACAAACAGCGTAGAAGTAAACCTTACCTCCACAGAAGAGAGCGACACCTGCGGCTTTGCCCCTGGTGTCTCCCAAGATTGCTTCAGGTACCTAATCGCTCACCAGCTCCGCTCCCTTGGACTCCCACATTCTGAGCTTAGCTGTCAGCGTGTGAGGAACTTAATGCCGCCTTCCCACGAAGCTGCTTATGAAAATGCTTAGCATGTGATGTCACCTGCATGCTTGAGGCAGAGGCTCCACCACTGGCTCTGCCTCATCCAGCCAGCCCTACCCAGGTGTGCAGACTTCCTCCTGGACACCATCCAAGCTTTTTGAGAAACAACTGGTTTGTTTAGTATTGCTGCAGTATCCGGTAACACAGCCGGAAGCTGTGAAATTCCAGCTGCCGTCACGACAGGGGTTAGTCGGGTGCTTCAGCTTATGAATTATTATTATTATTATTATTATTATTCCTTTTTAATAAGCTGTATGAGTAAATAGTGCAGAAATGTTCAGCTGGAAATTAGCTGTCAGGGCAGCGTTTTGAATATGATTTCAGTGACCTAAGGATCAGACAACAGACCGTTGTTGTCATCTTTCAAATAAGATACTGACACACTTATCCATGTGCGTAGCTTATTTTACTTTATTTTACTTTTAACGATGCAACAACAAACAAAACTGAAACTGCCGAAAGTCAGATTAATCTACTCGTCTATCCTTACAAATGTTATTTATCCAGCTCTGTTAGTAGGGAGATATTAAAGCTTTGGTATTTCTACAGGAGAATTAAGGAGTTTATCTATCCTGCTGCTGTCATTTCCATGTAGGAAAGTCATACAGAAGGTCAGTGTCATGCCCCCTGCCTCGCTGCCCCGTGCGGAATCCCCATGTCACCGGCTGTGTCTAGTTTTGTTCAATGTAGTCCGGTGTATTTAAGTACTTCTCTGTTCGTCTTCCCCCAGTCCTGTAATTGACGTTACTGCCCGTCTGTCCTGTGTGCCCGACTGTCTCCCCCGTACTGCCCTCGTTTCCCCAATAAACTCCTTTGTTTCCCCAACTTCCTGGATTCCCGCTCCTCTGTCTCCATTCCGTGCCATATTTCAGCACGTAACAGTCAGACAGAGAAGGATCCAGAAGATTCATATTGTATTGTGTAATAAACTACACAACACAGTTCATACACAGTTTCTAAGATGATTCTTCCTGTATGAGTGGGATGCACCATCAGTTTAAATGTTTATATTTGTTCAGTTTAAAAGTTAATTCCGCATTTTCTCAAGACCTCTGATCTGTTGCCTGATTAACCAGAAAAGGTCATTTCACTGTGTTCTTGTCAGAGAGGAACAAAGGAAACATTCCTGATTCTGGATAATCTACGTTCATATCTATATCTATATTTATGTTATGATTCTGGATAATCTACATTCATATCTATATCTATACTGTGTTTATGCTATGACAGCTGGGGAACTCGTACCCATACACCTTACAGACTGAAAGTGCTATGCCAACGTGACTGAACTTTGATAAATGGTGAATCAGATTCCTGATGTTAAATACTGTAAATGCCTTGCTGTGTTGATGACTGAGTACATGATTTCTGTTCATATGCTTTGTAATATAACTAACCACACAAACTTCATGAACTTAGACTGGCCATCTTATGTGAATACCGCTTTCAGTCAAGCATTGTCCGCAGAGCCCACTCACAAGCTCTTCTGCTGGTCCACGCTGATGTACCACATAGAGGGGGCCTCAGATGATGCAGCCAGAATGTTGGCCCCTGCGTGTGACTGTCTGTCAGCGGCGGCTCCTGTCAGGGTTCCCTTATTGCTTGTGCGTGCCATGTGACTGCCGGCCATGTGACTGCCAGCCATGTGACTGGAGACTTTTGGGCTGAGTAGCAGCAGTTATTAATACCGCCGATGACATTGCCCCCACCCCGCAGAACAGCAAGCTCCTGACCCATGACCTTTGACCCCAAACACAGCTATAAATAATGATATGCCACTGGCACCTTCAGCCATGCCACAATGAGGTGTTTGCTCCCTGAGCTCTAAGGAATGCCGAGGTTGTGGATCCCTGAGCTGGGGGGGCTCACATGCTGACCCCCCCCCCACTAAGACCTCATCCTGGCATCTGTGTCATCAGTGAGCTGCCCTATAAATGCCTGACTGCTAGAGTCCCTTAGGAGAATCACCCAGTCCTCAGTGACAACACAGTCCTCAGTGACAGCACAGTCCATCAAGACCTGGAAAGACAGGGTCACACAGCCGACCATGAAGTCCCCGTGCCAGGTCGCCTTTTGACGCCACTTCTCCTTCGCCACGTGACTTTGGAGTGTTTGCTGTCTGCCGCGTGGTCACCTTCACGTTCCCTCCTCCCTCAGGAAATGCCTGCAGTCCCTCAGGAGAGCCTGAGGAAGCAGAGAGACGCCGTCCTAAGCAGAATGAAGAAGCTGGCAGCGAAGCAGGTGGAGGTCACTGTAAGTGTGCGGCATCGTGAGTGCAAGCTGCAGAAGCTCCCAGGTCAGGAGAAACATCTAAAATACATTGAACCATGGGTGTCTCAGCCAAAGCCAGTATACGGGCATCTGGTGACTGAGGGTAGGAGATGTGAAACATGGATCAATATCTCAGATGACTGCGGTTCCTTGATGTTTCTCGTCTGTGTTTGGGATCAGGAGACAAGGACAACCACAATTACACTGTGCTCAATACATAGTCGGTCACAGCTTTCTAGGCAGAAGCCCAAACTTTCTGTGGTTATGGTATTCCATTCACTCTGCTCTCATTGTGTCTATTTGAACTTGCTCATATCATTCATTTCAGAATTCCATTTGTCTTAGTGCGCAAAAAAAAAAAGTGATGCATGGACCCTCAGCACGGAGAAGGGGACTGTGTGGGTGCTGTGCTTTTTTCTGTAACTAACAAACGAGTTTAGTTCTTCATACTCTGTGCATTCTATTTCATTCCGTTCTGATCTGTTCCATTCTACCCCATTCCTGCTATTCTATGCCATTCGGTTCTGTGTGGTCCTGTCCTGCAGAAAAAGTCCACAGCCCTGAAAGAGCGAATAAAGGAGAAATACGAAGACATGAAGAGGGTTCTGGAGGAGGACCTGCATATCACTCTGAGCCAGCTGGACCTGGAGGCCACAGCCACCATCCGAACCATGGAGGAGCTGACTGAGAGGTGCTGCCTGCTTCTCCAGGATATTGAGCGGCAGCTGTCGCAGCTGGACACACATCCGGAGCAGGTACTGACAGTCTCCCCGATAAGGAGATCTCCTGCTGCTGGTTCTGTCGACAGCGTGTGACTCACTCCACTGCTGGCCTCCTGCTTGTGCTCCTCAAACATACCTGTCACTTTCGACCTGTAAATCTGTGCTTCTTTCATTTTGCACCCAGAGCTCCGAAACAGAGGAGAGGTAGGCTGCTGAGTGCCCGGTCTGTGCTGGGAGCTAGCATGCCTTGGCATGGCTCTTTATGGGACTCATTCTAATCTTCTGATTCATTTTCATCTAACTTCTGGGTTCTTGCAGAAAACTAAGACGTAGCTCTTAACCACAGTACACTCTTCTGAAAAAGCCCGAATATGACGTATATGTCATGCTTCTTATCGCCACTACTTGTAGGAATCCTGCTTGAGCAGGAAGTGAGTAGAGGAAGACATGTCTGCTGCATATTCTGCATGTTTCTGCCCACTTCTCGTAAGCGTTCCCAGCAGGGCATTTGCAGTGGGCGTCTCCCTGCTCCTACAGAGGAAGGATAAACACCGACTTCTTTCCCAGACTAGCCGATGTGCTAAAGGTCTGTGACCCTGACCTGGTGCGACTGGATGAGTTCAAGGCTGACCAGGTCCTGGGGATGGCCAACAACCTGCTCCTCTTCATCCGATCGCAGACTCCCGTCACGTCAAAGCTCCTCCAGAGCTGTGAGTTACTGAGAATAGCGGCAACAATAATGACTCTTTATTGATCCCCATGGGAAAATCTCTTTGTGCTTACCCCATCTTGCTCTCCATGACACACATAGATGACAGCAATTATAAGAAATTAGATATCATCCAGTGTTTGACTTCACTAAGGCAGCTAATTAATGAAGCAGGTGGTATGGAGGTGAGTATTTCGGTACTTACACATAATTGTGTCATCAGCATAACAGTGAAAACTCTATAGAACACCGTCAGGGTATAAACTGTGAGTCAAAATAGGGCAATTTTTTGCCCTCTAAACATCTCCCTCTAGTCATGGTAAAAATGCCAATGTTTAGGAGGCATATAAACACACCATGTAGACAGGTATTTTCATACAGCGTCGGCCAGGTACAAATGCACATGTTAAGAAAAGGTCTTTCAGTTCTGAGACTTACAAAGGCTAATACTTCACTATACAAAGGCAAAGGGTTCCGTCTCTAATGCATTATGTTGGTTGACATATGATATCATTGCTTATGACGCTCAAAATTTGTGTGAATTTCAATGAAGAGGCTCATTGTTTTGTATGATATGCTGAATTATATGTGTGACTCAGAGTAACTGAAGGAAAAGGAGCAGAGGAGCCAGGGCCGGAGTGGGACTGAATTTCTGACCCAGAATTCAGGCCCCAGGACAGCCAAATATATAACTATATAAACAGTTACACTATTTTTATAGGTTTTTATGAACATGGACGCACATTCTTACATACACACTTTAATTATGTGTCCATGTGATTTTTACTGGCACATTTCAGCAGTATCATCAAGCCTGGAGCGACTTTGACATAAACAAATAAGGAAGCTTCGTCAAAGTACCCATTAAACATAAGATCTGTGCAAATTCCAATACATCTCTAATAAATTACTTTTTGCACACTTCTTACATAATATATTTTTCCGGGACTTGCACAGAACATTAATGATGCCCATGTGTCGTGAAAGCGTAATATTAAACTTTGCAGCGGTTCTAACACTAAACCAAGATTTAGCTAATATCGGGTGAGTGGGGCTCTCAGGATTCAAGCTGATTTTGTGATGTAGGGAGAAAGATGCCTTGTTGTTCACAATGCAGTTCACTACACAGTGGCCCATTCTGCACTAGCATATGTTCTGACATTGATCTTAGGTCAGATACCACGGTAGAGATGTAAGCATGACATACCGTATTGTAAGAATTTAGTCAGGAGCACGTCATCAGCTCATGCCTGTAATATTGTGTGTTACATGCTCTGAAATGTGTGTCGCTGCTCACATGTGCTGTAACAAAGCTTTATGTCATAGTACGCAAACATATGCAAATTTAAGGAACATCATTGGCTGAAGTGCTTGAAGACAGGTATTTTTCCATGTCTAGAGGGTAAACAATGCCATGTCGAGAGGTATTTTGTCCCTCAGTTTTTACCGAAACTGAGACCATGGCGCCGAATGAATGATATGACCTGTCATGAAGAGAATAGGGCCTAAAACTGAGCCCTGGGGGACACCTTGAGTGAGAACAGCAATAGCAGATTTTAATGTTGCGAAGGATACACGATACTGATGGTCACTAGGATGCAAACCAAGAAAGAGCAGCACCGGCAAAACCCCGTACTTCCCGTACTATACAGTGTCAAATGCAGAACTAAGATCGAGGAGGAAAAGTAGGTTGGCTGCCCCCAGAGTCTACAGCCACAACTATCATTAGCCACCATGAGCAATGCCATTTCAGTGCTGTGTAGGGTCCTGAATCCTGAATGAATTGGATTGCAAAGGTTACAAGCACATAAGTGATTTTTAAATTGAACAGCAACAACCTTTTTCAAAATTCTTAAGCAAAAAGGGGAGATTTGAAATGGGTCTGTAGAATTTTTGCTATGTGGGGTCCAAACCAAATTTTTTGAGAACAGGTATAACAACAGCAGTTTTTGGTTCAGGTTGGAGCAACGTTCGTAAAAAGGTTACGGTGAACGAAATGGGAAGTGGGAGCTGAAAGAGTGTTAAGACGGCTTGATGAAAATGAGTTTGGTTTCAAGATTAGTTCTACAATAAAAACAGGAGTGGTAGGAATAATTCTGAAAGTTAATCAAAAGGAAGTTCACTAGTAGGAAGTCAGAAGTGGGAGAAAGGAGGGTTAGCAGAAAAAACATTGATTTAAGGTCTGTTTTTAGCTGGACAACAATCAAGAATGCATTACAGAGTTAATCTCCAGTCACTACAAATGAGTCACATTTGGGAGTTAGCCTGTGGTCACTACAGTAAGCCACATTTGGGAGTTAGCCTGTGGTCGCTAAAGTGAGCCACATTCGGGAGTTAACCTCCCATCGCTGCCATGGTAACAATAAGACTACAGGCACTGGTGTCCCAGCTGCAACACGGGGAGTCATAGCCATGTTCTGTTACAATGTGTGAACTGTGTGTGGTATGTTTCAGGTCTTCTGGTCGCATCTCACTGCTAAATGGTTATATATTTCTGTTCTATTTCCATGGTGACCTTTCCCAGACATCAGCGTGGTGCAGCTGGACCCGGATTCCGCTCACCCCAAACTTGTGATTTCGCCAGATGGCACTGCAGCCACCTACACGGACACCTGGCAGGAAGTTCCAGAAAATACCATACGCTTCGACACCACACTCAACGTCCTCAGCCTGTGTGGCTTCGGTGATGGCCGACACTACTGGGAGGTAGAGGTGGGAGGGAAGACCTACTGGGAGCTGGGCCTTGCCTATCCCAGCATCCCTCGAAAGGGCCGGGCAGAAGCCTGCTGGCTGGGCCGAGGCGCTCACTCCTGGGGTCTCGAGTTCTTTGATGGGGTGTACACAGCCTGGCATGGGAGTGCCGCCCACCAGCTGCCCGTCACACGCCGCTTTGATCGGGTGGGGGTATTCTGCAGCTTCCCTGGGGGCCTGGTGTCCTTCGTGGGTGCAGATGGCAGCATCACACCACTCTTTTCTTTCTGTGCCGGAACGTTCTCTCAGCAGCTCCACCTGGCCGTGTGCCCAGGCCATGACCACCAGGGCACTAACTGCAAGCCTATCCGCATCTGCAGCACCCACCGAGCTGCATCCACCCACAGACTGGCACCTGAGGCCAAACCACCCACCAACTAGCATCTAAGGCTAAGCTCCACTCAGTGACAGGCTCCACCCACTCATTGACCAATCAGGTGGTCATCCAGTCCTACTCATTCAGGGAATTTGCTGAGTTCTTATCAAGCTTTTTATATCCAAGGCTGTTTCTGCCACGTGTGTACATTCACAAGGAAGTCATGTATGCAGGAACTGTCTGAATTTGTATTTCCCGATCGGTTTGTGCACATTGTGTATGAAGGGCTGGAGGTTGAAGGTGAGGATACAATTAAGCAATAAACTCATCACAGCAGGACCTGACCTGTTGTAACAAAACACATTTATTGAGCTTGCATTGTTATGTTTTTATACAAGCTTTTCAAACAAACCCACCAGCTTAGAAACCTTGGGGTGGTTTTGCCATTGGTGATTCTGCGGCTGGGACTCCTCCCTCCCTCCCCGAACTGCCTGCTCCACATTGATAGATATATTTCCTGAGGGTGACCATGCAAACACTGTCAAGTATCCCACTGATTCCATTTAGAAATAGTGTTTTCCCTTCAAAGGTAGACTAGCTGGTGCTTTAGAGCAGGGCTGAGCAGGATGAGGGAGAAGCTGGCTGACCTTGATGTGACTCTCTCTCTGCTCTTCAAGGTCTCAGAGAATATGTTCAGTTAGCACCATCATCATCATCATCACACCATCATCATCAGACAGATATTAAAATCAAAATAAAAAGGAAGAAGACTGGAGAGAACAGTGTATGTGAGCTAAACTGGGAAGGTCACATGACACATGTTAACTGGTCAGTTGACTGAGAGAGGAAGTACTGGCAATACTGTTGATTCTGGTTATAGTTAGAGTATGAAATAACCCTGAGCACAGAATAAGAGCAGCTAACCCCAGCAATGTGTGTCTTTGGGAGTCACAGTGAAAAAGACACGGCTTTGGCTTGGTGAACATCTGCCGTAGGGTGTCCAGTCGCAGGCGTGACCCCCTCTGTTTCCCCAGGAACGTCAGTAATGTTGCACGCGTGACCAGCTGCATGGTGCCAGTGTGCGGGCGACAAAAGGCCGTCTGCTCTTTATATTTGGGTACTTCTATGATTGGCAGTGATGTGTCACTGGGCAGGGTGCGAGTGCCCCAGTAGTGCGCTTGTATCTCCATTGGCAAGCATGTATCGGTAATATGTGTAAATACACACATGCAGAGGCATATACCAAAAAATCCCAGACTGCAGAGCACAGCACTGCAAATCAGCAGACCCGGCCTTATGGACTGGCGGGGGCAGTGGCGGGGGCAGCGGCGGGGGCTGTCCACTTTGCTGTTAGTGTGTCATGCCAAAGGGCTCTAACATTTTCTGGGAAAATTTGAGTCATGCAATAATCTCATAACCATGAAGCCCAGGTGGAAAGTTTCCGCTTGGTGGAAAGTTCTAGAAACAGAAAGAGACACCTGTAATCTTCTGTCTATCAGGGCCCAGACAGTAAATGGCAGATGATTATCAAATACAGATAAAAGACTGTTCCTGCTGACGGTTTTGCTAACTGCTTACACATGAAATTACACACTTAAGGCACAATTCCCACACTGGATATCCCACATTGATGGTCCAAAAAAATCAGAAAAATAAAAGGTACAGAGAGTAACGAGGACAGCCACAGCACATGGCCTCATCGCTCCAGGTCAGCCCCGGAAGTACAGCTCCTTGGTCAGCATGGAGACAATACATGGGATCTGCTTCTTCTCGTGGAAGTGTGGGTCCTCAGACCAGGACTCAAAGCTGGTGGCGACCTTGTAGTTGACGCGCGTGAGGATCTGCATGATCTCCAGCTGTTTTCCAAACTCCTTGAGCACGGAGCAGAGTGCCTGAACAAACCAAGACCCTCGACCTGGGTTCCTCCAGGAGAAGTAACCTGGGGAACACACAGAGCGCTGTGGGTCAGTGTCTGTCTGGGATGTGTGAAGGGTGTTTATCCACAAGGGAGGCGGGGATGGGAGCGCATGTGTCCATTGGGGTGGCGAGAAGGGGAGCGCACGTGTCCGTCAGGGTGGTGAGGAGGGGAGAGCACGTGTCCGTCGGGGTAGTGAGGAGGGGAGAGCACGTGTCCGTCAGGGTGGTGAGGAGGGGAGAGCACGTGTCCGTCAGGGTGGTGAGGAGGGGAGAGCACGTGTCCGTCGGGGTAGTGAGGAGGGGAGAGCACGTGTCCGTCAGGGTGGTGAGGAGGGGAGAGCACGTGTCCGTCAGGGTGGTGAGGAGGGGAGCGCACGTGTCCGTCAGGGTGGTGAAGAGGGGAGTGCACGTGTGTGTCAAGGAACAGTGACAAAAGGTTACCGGGCACAGTGGAGTAGGCAAACAGGAAGTCGGCCTCCACGGGGATCTTGTTTCTGGGGTTTGCGTCGGTCTCCAGTGTGTCTTTTGGGGGCCCGGAGTCGGTCTCGATTCCATCGTCAAACTGGGAACCTCGGCAAGCCTGTAACCACCAATGCAAGTGAGGACAAAATGGTGCACAGACACATAGAGACTGCAAGTGACAGGGCAGGCCACTCTGCAGCACGCTTATTAGACTACTCAGGCAGAACGCGCTCCAAAGCAATGTGGAAGTGAAGGGTTCTGGGAAGTGTAGTCTCTTTTCTGAGCCCACACTGACCCACCTTCTGTACCAGCATACATAGTGGATTCTAGGACATGTAGTCACCTGGGGCCTGAATTTTTCCGCTCACCTGGATGAAGAAGAGCTTGGGCTTGCCCACCAGGCTCCTGCACACATCCCCCCGGAAGAGAGAGGTCAGCGTCTTGAGGGGCATGACCCCGTCCGTGCCAAAGACCATGCTCTCCTCACCATGGGTGAGCAGGATGCAGGCGAAGCAGGAGCTGTTGCTGTGGTCCTCCTCAGAGGCTGGTCAGGGGGACACAAGCCAACCAAATCGCTGTCACAATCCCATTGATACAGCTGGACCAATCAAAGGCACAGAGTGTCACATGATAAAGACGTGGCCTGTGTAGAGTGCTTCACAAGCCAATGGACCTATGGCTGAATATTCCGAGGTATCTGTCCATATGTACAAACAGGTCACAGTCTCAGCCATGTCTTCTAATTGAATAATACCAAGGTGGCTCTGCTGGTAGTTCCAAAGGACTGATATTATTAACATAAAACGACATAAAGAAACATTAACCACCATTCAGTAAGTGTCATTATCGTCAGCTATAAACCATTAGTCATGGACTGCTATTGTTACTGTCTGGTAGCAGTGAGCAGATAGGCAGAGCCTGCACAGAAATCTGCTGTGTGAATGAGGAAGGCAGGCAGGGTGATGTGCTCACCTTTCCTCAGCAGCGCCTCCATCTTGCTGCACGTCTGGTCGTTGTACACACAGACATTAAAGCCCAAGTTCTTGAAGCATTGAAACAGCTCGTCACCATCCCGGTCGGTGCCGTTCCGCACGTTCATCCCTGCGAAACACGAGATGTCGGTGCCAAGCGGCTCAAAGTACCCGTGGGCTGTTTGAAGGTGGTACCATGCTGAGTGCACTCATGCAGACTTTGTCCACAATCTCCCGTCCTCCCTCCCTCACTCACTCAGTCCCTCACTCACTCACTCAGTCCCTCACTCACTCACTCCCTCACTCAGTCCCTCACTGACACCCTCACTCAGTCACTCTCTCACTCCCTCACTCACACCCTCACTCAGTCCCTCACTCACTCACTCCCTCACTCAGTCCCTCACTGACACCCTCACTCAGTCACTCTCTCACTCCCTCACTCACACCCTCACTCAGTCCCTCACTCACTCACTCCCTCACTCAGTCCCTCACTGACACCCTCACTCAGTCACTCTCTCACTCCCTCACTCACACCCTCACTCAGTCCCTCACTCACTCACTCCCTCACTCAGTCCCTCACTGACACCCTCACTCA